TCTCTGGCCTTTTATTTTTCTTTTTAACAAGCCCTGATTATAAAAGTGTTTCCCTCATACTTGTTCACCTCCTAAATGGCCCACTCCCAAATGCTAGTGGGTCTAGGACAATTAGACTGTGGAATGAAATGGATAAGGTGATCGATCACCTATGGCCCATCAGGCTGGGATCAGATTTCTTGCCATAGTATATCAGTGAAATCATATGAGAAAACCTTGGAAGTTCAACAACCCAGGAGAGATCCTGGTGCTGGGTGCCATAGAGGAGGCTGTTCTTAGGGAGCTGTAACACATCTATGAACCCCAGAAAGAGAACCACAGCCAACCAAAGTAACTATTGCACCAAAATCCAGCTTGATGAAACTATTAGTTTTAATTGGGATCACTAAAGGAATACGAGCAAAGGTTTACTTACAGGAGCATGGGTGACTCAAAAACAGCTGTATCTCCAGAAAGCTGAGTCCCACACAGATAACAAACCATGAAAGCTGAAACCACCTTCACTTGGATCTCTGCATAACTTACAGAAAGCTCTATGCAGCCAAGGAATCACTCCATAGTTAGGTTGATCAGTATCTCCTCCCCAGCCAATGTTTATTCCTTCTATAGAGCTTGAGGATCTTGCAAGTTGTAATTTTCCCAGATGTATGACACTCTGTTTATCTCAGTCTCAAGCTTCCCTACACACACCCCTAGGGGATGCTTCAGTTTAGGGGAATCTATTCTAAGAAACAGGGACGCACCATTTTGTCACAGACTAACCTTTCCTCCATGTCTTATTCCGCCATTGCTTAGATAAAAATAACATCATGTTTTTCAAAGGCCATAATAATAATGGTATTGTTATAATGGTAGCAACCACTCAGTACTAGGGAATTAAGACAATCTTTTTCTCAATGTTTTTTCCAAGTTCTCCATTCAGATCGTGGGCTTTAATTTTTTCCTGCTAGCCAATTTCTGCAGAATTCTTATAGCATATTGGAATTTGTACAGTAAAAGACAGTCCAGCACACTTAAATCTACATTAAAAAAAAAAAACTATGTATTGAGGCTAGAGAGATGACTCAGTAGTTAAAAACACTTGGGCTATTGCAAAGGACCCAGGTTCACATGGTGGCTCACAACCATCTGTCACTACAGTTCCAGGGAATCCAAGGCCCTCTTCTGTCCTCCCTGGGCACACTGATGGTACACAAACATACATGCAGCTAAAACAGTCACACACATAAAATAAAATCTAAAAGAATTAAAAAGAAAGAAAAACAACAATGTATCAGTCTAAGAGATTTTAGGTAAGATTAATTTGTCAGGCATTTACAAGTCCCAAAACACAACCCAGTGCCATAACCTTAAATACAATTTTTTTTTTACTGAAAATATTTTTTGCCCAAATGTTTTTCCATGTTAAAGTGTAACAGTGATAAATAGTAGAAGGGAGCAAGGTAGCATAGTGAATTCCTGCTCTCACAAATGGATTGGCCTGGTTTTCTTCTACCAAGATGTACAGCATCCACTCACTGGTTTAATAATACATAGTCATAGTGCTATTTTTAAAACTAAATGAGATAATGTATGCAAAATGTTTAGTGCATAATAATTACTCAATAAGGGATAGATAAGATTTAGTAAGTCTTCCACTACCTTAGAATCATTTGGTAACAAATAACAGAACACATCTAAACCTATCTAATCGATCCTTGTAAGATGCATTGTTATAAAGAATTAGGTCACCCGATAATCTATTGTTTTCCGTGGTTTACTTTTTAAATGGTAACATTGATTTTATGTGTGTTCCTGTGAAGCATGGCATGCTGCCCATGTGTGGAGCTCAGAGAACAACTCACAGGAGTCAGCTCTCTCCTTCCATCTGGGTCAAAGTCAGATTTGAAGCAAGTGCTTTTAGCTCTTGAGACATCTTACTGGCTCTCTGTGATTCATTTTAAAGGGAGAGTTCATGAAAAGCCCTGGATTTGATTCCCAGCTCCACATAAACCAGTCATAAGCATGCTTACCCGTAACCTGGCCTGAAGGAGATAAAGACAGTAAGGCAGTGGGATCAGAAGTCCCAGGGAAGCCTAGGCTACCTGAGATCCTTCTCTAAATAAATAAATAAATTCCAGCCACATAAATAATCAGATGCATCCGAATTTTAATCTGTTATTGCGTTTGCGATATTAAAATGATGACCAGGAAAGAATTTCCTCGTAATTGGCCTTCAATGCTAGGGTGTAGTTAAAGGTTATTGGGCATAAGAAAGGAGAAAGAATAAATGTTTGCCCTGAGATTGCGAAATCTGAGTGAAGGCTTCAGAAGGCTATCCTCTAATGAAGGTTTTGTTTCTCCAACACTTTGAGTCGATCTTGCCAATCCTGTTTAGCAGTCACCTAAAGCATCCTCCTTAGTAATCTGAGGACCAGATGGTCACTGAAGTAAACCAGAAAAATAAACTTTGGGTCAACAAAGAAAACACATCCATATGATCCTCAAAGTCCTTACGAAATGGCATTGGGTCAAAACCACAATAGTTCTTTCCTATTTTTATAAGTTCTAATAATTGTTCTTGAGAATGACTATTGTGTAAGATACAAAGTAGTCTGTAAAAAAATACCAACGATCTAAAGATCCTTTTTTCATTTTAAATTTTACTACAAAAAGGTTTTTAAACAAAAAATGTTCACACACTGAAGTTAGTCAGACTCGGGATGACAAAATCAATGAACTTCTATGTATTAGAGTGGCCATTCTGAACAGAAGCCGCGGAGCTTCATATTAGATTTTATAATTTCAGTACCAAATATATATTTTATGCACTTACCATTTTATTGTCCATGTTCAGTATTTCAAGACTAGAGATAGATCTGAATACTAAACATGAGGAAGTCTGCTAAAGCAATAATAACTTTGAAATTGATATAGAAACCTACATTGATTTCATATTGATCATTTCAATATGATCTCAAATGATCAGTTTCTCATATTGATATTTGAGAAACTGAATGTTTTGTTTTCTTACTTACTTAAAAAAAAGAAATCTTTCCTGGAAGAATTATAATAATGGATAAGGTAATTTGCTTCAATCCAAGAGTTTAGTATTAGACAAAGGCTGAGAAACACAATGCCAATTTCTCAACAGCGACACCTGCTGGGACCCCAGAGTATAGCACTTCAAGGAGCTCCTCTGACTGGCGGGACTGGAAGGAGCAGGAATGCCAGGCTGAGTCTTCAAGGCTCACCTGCTCTCTGCTTGCAGATTTACAGGTTACATTTCTCATTCTCACCAAAATAGAAGAGGCAGAAAATGGGAGAGGAAACCTCAAGTATATCAAATTGGTTTCCATTATTTGGTTGTCTTAAAAACATACTAATTTCCCTGATAGAGGAATTTCAATTAATATATGTAGATATAATGTAGCCCTACACACACACTGTGGTCTACTTTTCTCTGTGGGTATAAATTTATCCCTCTGGGCCTTGAAGGTGAGCGGGACTGAGTGGAGTGACCCATACCCATTCTAGTGTATAGAAAGGGCAACAAAGTAACTCCAGTCAAGTGTACAGATACTACCTCGGTCAATAAGTGAACATCACCAATGATCTTCTGTAGATGCCAGGCATCATTGATGCCATATTGTTACCCCAACCTAAGGTAACCAGAGTGTACTAACAAAGACTGAGGCCAATTTACTAAATACCTGCAAAAGTCTGCACCTGTCAATCCAGGAAAAAGAAAAGAAAAATCAGAGAAATTTGCTGTACTAGATAGTTTCATGTCAGGTTGACATAAGCTAAAGTCATCTGAGAGGAGGGAAACTCAATTGAGAAATTAGATCAGACTGTAGGCAAGCCCGTAAGTCATTTTCGTAATTACTGATCAATGGGGAGGGCCCAGCCTATTTGGGTGGTGCCGTCCCTGGGCAGGGGGTCCTGGGTTCTATAAAAATAAAAAGACAGGGTTCTATGAGTAAGCCATAGGGAGTAAGCCACTAAGTAGCTCCCTCCATGGCCTCTGCATCAGCTCCTGCTTCCAAGTTCCTGCCCTGTGTGAGTTCTTGTTTTGACTTCCTTCAGTGATAGACTACAATGTGGAAGTGTAAGCTAAATAAACCCTTTCCTCCCCAAGTTGCTTTTAGTCAGAGTGTTTCATTGCAGCAGTAGAAACCCTAAGATACTGGCCCAAGGAATAGTAGGATCAAATTCAGTATCCTACATGGATCTATGTGCTGCAAAGAGCAGTAGAAAAAAAAAATCTAGGGAAGTCAGTTTGGTGAAAGTTTGATATTACTTAATAAAATACCAATGTCAGTTTCTTGGTGTGAACAAATGTACTACAGGAACATACAGCTGACATGAGGGGACACCGGCATGGATTGAGGGCATATGAGAGCTCATTGCATTCTCTTTGTGATTCCCATACATTTACGAATACTCCAAAATGAAATCTTTATTTCAGAAGTATTCTCTGAATACTCTCCATGCTGTGTGTTCTGAGGGTTAACTCTTACCTTTGAGAAACACATTGCAGCTCAGTGTCTTCACACTGCATTATCTCTCATTTAAGTTGTTATGCCAGTGTCTGGCAAGCAGGATTCTTTCCATTTAATAGGAAGCAGACTCAGGGATTTTATTCCATTTATTTATACCAGAAGTCAGAAGCCACAGGGTTCTTACGTGTGCTGAGTTCTAACGGAAGTGATTATACTGGGAATGATTGACACTGCTTGCTGGATTTTATGTAGCTATGTTACCTCACTTCTTCATGTGAGGAATTAAGTGCTGGTAGGAAAAAAATGAAATGAAAAAGATGAGTCAAAACTTGAGCATTTGGTCTCAGTCTACACTCTGAAACCATCAAGTTCTCCCTGGCATGTAAAAAAATCTCAGGCATCCTTCTGGGTTTAGCTTAAGTGTCTTTGTGAGTCCTTTCTCGCCACTCAGACGGCATCCCTTCATCCCTACATATCCATTTTGAGTCATGGCAGAAGGGAAGTACAGACTGCACATACACAATTCATGTTTAATTACATACAAAATTCCTCTCCTTAACAATTTCTTTCTCTACTCAAATTTAAATTTAATTGTCAAACTTATTTTAGTGAAAATGATTCAGTGTGGATGACTATGTTAAATTACTTAGAAACCTCAAATTATAGAGCTTTCCCAGACCAGCCACTGAAGCTCGAAGTCACTCCCCTACATTTTGAGAAAAGCAAGACTCCTGTGCTCCAGTGTGAGATAATCTGACTTCATTCTGTTAGCTTAAGAGAGTGGGCCAGTCCTTGGGAACTTGCAGTCCATCTTCAATCAGGCCCCTCAGGAGGATCCTGGGACCTCACAAAGGCTGCCAGTCTACTGTCACTCTCTTCCCAGACTCTTCTCTGTGCTCATTCTCACCAGCTGGATTGAGTGACAGTGCCCACGCCCGATGATTGAATTGCTTGTTCATAATGAACCAGTCCATCTCAGACACCAGGCAGTTCTTTAACCAGACTGGCCTCTGTCTGCAAAACAAATCAGCTCAGGATCAGCCATTTGCAATGAGTATGTAAATCATTCAGGGTCACCTGCCTGTGGCTGGAAAGTGATTGGCATTTGCTAAGCAGTCACTGTTGATGCTTTGCCTTCAAATCTGAGTCTCACCAGACTTAGGACTTGCTGTTTCTGGACAATTATTTCCTTAAGCTGACAGAATTGTGTCACATTAATATTTAAAATTAAAATCAATGATTGCTCTAGCACAGTGACAGAATGCTGCTGTTGAGTGTCATTGAATTGCTCGTTAATATTAATTTGCAGTTGTGGAGAAATGGCTTAACAACTGAGCTACACATATATAATTTAAATATTGATTAAATGGGCCATAAATCTGTGCTCATGAAACAAATTACTTCTAGCCATCTGTGTTTGATTTTTGTGGTCCTGCTTAGCATTTTTAAAACTCGTAATATTTTAGTAACAACATGCACATTTTTAGTAGCTTCATTGTTAGCAGATATTTGCCAGTTTCCTGATCAGCAAAAATTTGTTTTAGACTTTTATTTTTTTTGTTTTATTTTATTTGTTTTAGAATTTTATGACACTTATCATAAACAACATATGTTATATGTTGTTTATGATAAGTGTCATAAAATTCCCCAATAAATTTCTTACCTAAAATATCATGTATCAATACACTTGGTATCAATAGCATCCTTACTACCTGAAATTCACTGGATATGTTTTAGGAATCTGAGATTGACCTGAGAATTTGATTTTCTTTAGGACAGAATAATGGAGTTAGACGAACCCAGGTTAGTATGACACGTAGTGTGAAATGTTTTTTCTTTCTATTATAGTCAACAAATTGCAGTATGTTTATGATAGTAACATGTCATATTTGTAACACTACAGGAACATGTAACACAAAGCAATGACTATTTTGGAATCCTAAGAAGTAAAGAAGTAAAGCCAAAGCATCAGGATAGATGAACTTGCCAGGGAGAGTGAGGGCAAGCAAGCAAAAAGCAAATGTGTCCTTCTTCCATATCACTTCAAGTGGGCTACAAAAAGGTGTGGGCCAGATTTAGGGTAGGTCTTCCTACTTCCGATAATCTAATTAAGCAACTCCATTACTAGCACATCCAGCAGCTTGGGTTTTAGTTGATTCCAGACATGGTCAAATAGACAACCAAGATTAGTCACTGAAGGTTTCTTGTGCATGTGTCAGTCAAAGATGAAGTCTGTAAATGTAGAAAAATTGCATATATAGAGTTTTGTGCCATCCACAATTTCAGATATCTACTAGAGATTATACAAGTTACCCCTTGGAGATAAAGTAGGAGCTACCACACTGTCAAAATGTGTTTATTAGTTGGGCAGCAGTGATACATACCTTTAATCCCAGCACTGGGGAGGCAGAGGCCAGCCTGGTCTACAGAGTGAGTTTGAGGACAGCAAAAGCTACACAAAGAAACCCTGTCTCTTAAAAAAAAGTCATTATAATGTACCTTTTAAAATTAAAATCTTAATTTAAGAGTTGAAATAGCAAATTCAATATACCAAATTTAAAAACAAAATCATTCACTTTATTGAGATGTACAGATATACTGTTAAATTTTCTTTTCCTTGTCATGTATTTTGTGTTGTGTGACCTGTTTTTGCGTTTTCCTTTCTAAATTTGGGATGAGAAAATATAACACGACTAATAAAAGACCAGAGACAGATATTGGGGTTCAGAGAAGATCAGAGAAGCACAGCAGCCAGCCAGTAGCTCTTACCTCTATCTCAAATCAAAATAGGTGATCCTGTCTCCACAAGTCCTCAGAGTGCACTGCTCTTCACCAAACCTCAGACTGTAATCCTGATTTCCTGTCTCCTCCCATCTTATATTCCTCTCTCCAGCCAGCCATGTCATTCCTGTCTCCACTTCCCTAGTGCTGGGATTAAAGGCATGTGATCCCAAGTGCTGAGATCACCTTTGTGTGAGCTGTTTCTCTTTTAGACTGGATCAATTTTGTGTAGCTAAGTGTGACCTCAAACTAACAGAGATCCATCTGCATCTGTCTCCCGAGCTCTAGAATTAAAGGTGTGTACCACCATGGCCTGGCTTTATGTGGCTAGCTTTGCATTTTGATCCCTAGTGGCTTTAATAAATCATAAATAATATATTATCACCACAAGAAGATTTCAATTCCCAGGATTTGATTCAGTCCTTGTCTTCATCTATGCACATCATCTGGAAAAAGTTCGATGTGTTTCTTAGTGATTCTGGACAAAGACCTAGAACCTATTTTCTCCAGTGAGTTTGACTTAGATTGTGTGTTATATGTTGAACCCATAAATGTAGAAAAGAAGCTTTTCAATTCCTTACCTTTTCTTGCAAATAGCATCACCTGGCTATTTTATCTTTTACCACAACTTCCAACAAGAGTCTCTCTCTAACTCCTTTCATAAATCTAATTGCCTAATTTGGGTCCCTGACATCTTACTGTTAATTCACCTCCCTCCCAGTTGCAATTAATCTCCACTGACTGCTAAAGTTAATTGGTTCTCACCCTTCTACTCCCTGTGCTACTCCTGTGACTAATATCTTTACTACCTAGTTGGATTTTGCACCTTTCTTATATAGATTACTTTCTTACCTGTCTCACAAACCACAAATTTATAGTTATTACATTGACTAGAAATAACTCTCCTGAGTTGTATGCTGTCAGGTTGGGTCTGTAAATCACAGTGTCTTAATCAATAGATGGGCATACAGCCAAAGTGAGCTTGTGTCCAGACTTTGAATGCTGTGCAAAAGCAGAAAAATGGCCAATGGTCCTAAAATCTGTCCAGTGGCTCCTCCCCCAAGTTCCCACACTGCTGGGTGATTTCCATCCATGTTATGAGCCTGCAGTTCCATGACCTGTCTTCTTATTGTGCCAATAAATTAGCCTGGGGAATCAGGACACACACACACACACCACCACCACCACCACCACCACCACCACCAACAACAACAACAACAACAACAAAACCAGTTTTGAGTCCTCTGACTGCTTGTATATCAAAAGGTCCCACTACAATGCTTGCTCATGGTAACAAGATTAACTTGTCATCAACTTTGTGTGTCAGTTATCCTTCTTCCCAGTCACCCATCAGAGCCCATGAACAAAGCAAAACAGTGTTAAGACTACGGATTTAACAAAAGGTATTCCCTTACAGCCTGTCAGCCACTACTGAGCACCCACTTTACCAAAGGCAGGTAAAGCAGCACCTCTGAATAGTCACATACCCTGGGAGGACTGGCTGCAAGGGATAATTAGATTTCTTCCCTTAGGGGGGAGAAAGAGTTCATTCTTTTAAGCTAAATTCATACTGGAAAATGCTTGATTCTCTGCCACTTGTCAATTACTGAATACATTCTACATTACCGTAATATTACATACAACTTGCTTCATACATAAAAAAATTCTTAACACTGAAATAATAAACATGTGTAATTTGTTAGTCTCGGTGCACATTTCACTTTGAAGAAGGGACTGCCCAATTATGTAGAAACTATAGGAAGAGCCAGGCTATGGCACCTCATTAGTTTAGGGTTCATGCTCTTCTGAGCTATACTTCATTATCTCTATTTGTTCATTACCTCCCATAGTCAGAAAATATATAAACTAGAAAGTGTGTGTGTGTGTGTGTGTGTGTGTGTGTGTGTGTGTGGAATGGGACCTTCTATTCTATTACTTTCTGTCTGTAAAAACCTATCATCATCATAACACCAATATTGGAACCTAAACCTGCTCTGACATCTTGGTGCTTGCAATTGACAGAGACAAGGCCTTGCATTGAAAGATAGTAGGACCTTAAGATAAAGCATCTACCAGGGCTGAGAACTCCTCATGATAGTGGGTGAATAGACCCAAAGAGGCTCAGATAGTTGTATGACAGACCCTAAGAGGAACTGGAGTTAGCTGTGGAGTGTGGGAGAAAGGATGGGACCTAGAGAACCACCGGATCATTTCCTAAAATGGCTGTGCTCTGGGGCAAAGTGAATAATTGGAACCCTCATACAGACAGATTTGCATCAAGAAAAAAAAAGTGATCACAGCCAGCCAGCCTAGCCTGCTTTCTGTCAGATGAGTTAAGCAGCACTAGTATGTCTGTCCAGGAACACGGCAAGGGACTTGCAGCAGACTCCAGGTCTCTTGGTGCCTTGATCCTGGACCTCCCATCCTCCAGAACGATGAGAAATAAATGTCTGTTGTTGATAAGCTACCAAGTCTATAGTATTTTGCTATGGCATCTGGAAAAGACTAAAGTAGGAATCAGCACAAAGAGATTTGAAATTTGTGATGTTTGTGCCCAGTAAAACATTATAGTGAGAGTGTTGCTGCCTTGGAGACAGTGCCTAGAATTAAGGCCAGGCCAATAATGTGAATCTGAACATGTAGGTCGAATTGAGAAGGTTCATTAACACCATCCCAATATAGTCATTATTAATAACTCATCATGTTATTTAAATAAAGTGGTAACTCCAGTTCTATGCATCGTGATGCCCTCTTCTGGCCTCCACAGGTATTGCATGCATTCAGCGACCATACATACATGCAGGCAAAACACACTGGTTTTTGTCAATTTGAGAGAAAACAGAGTTTTTTTTTTTTCTGGGCTTTTAAATGTATGGTTTCTCGTATTTGGGGGATTTCTCACGGTTCTGAATCTCCTTCAAATCTCAGCTAAAAGGCCAAGTCCTTGCAAAGCCTTCTTGAATAAACGTCTTGCCCGGCATTTCTTTCTTCTCTCTTCATTGTTTTCTGTATACTGTCTTGGCCCAAAAACGCTTATTAATCCCTTTGTCTCAGTGTACAAAGCAGATTATCCAGTGCACACCAGGGCCCTGGCCCTGCTTTTCAGAGATATGAATTCAGATACAGGAATTTAATTATGACCAGTTCTGTTGGCCACCTATGCCAGCTACTGGTCTCAGAGTATTTTACGCATACTTCATCACTAGTTCGGCATTTCTTAGATTCCTGAAATCTCTTTCAGTACCTCCAATTTCTTCTCTTGAGCTCATCCTCTCCTCCTTCCAGGATTTTAAAGGAAAACACTGTCAGGTAGCGGCGCGCATGCCCGGACGGATGTGCGCATGCTCCGGTGAGCGCACACGCGCAGTGCTCCCGTTGCGCCGGGTCTGGCCGCGATGGCGGACGCCAGCGGAGAGGTGGCTCCGGTCCCCTCCTCCGGGCCGGCCAACGGCCTCAGTAACGGAGCGGGCGCGACCCCCACGCAGTCCAACAACCCGCTGTCACGCAAGCTGCACAAGATACTGGAGACCCGGCTGGACAATGACAAGGTACCTGGAGGGGCCGGGAGGGCCGTGCGAGCCTCAGCCCCGGCCGTACTGCCCGGCGCCCGCCGGAGCTGCTGTCCCGGCCCCGGGGAGACTCCTCCCTGCATTGGTTGTGCACCGACTGTTTGTGCGCCACTGCTGTGTTCTTTACAAAAACACCTACCCACAGGCCCTCCTCGACCCTTCTAGAACAGGACGTAGTAGCTCTTCTCGGAGCTGGCTGTCTGCTGCAGCATTGAGCAGCCAGGTATATTGGCCCTGCCAACGTGGCACAAAAGAAAAACGTAAATTGAGAGCCGTAAAGCGGTAGGTAAATATGTAGGGGAGCGAAAATAAGCCGTCAACAAGAATTTAGCTCCTACGTATTTCAAAACAAGCATTAAAATGTTGACTAAAAAATAAGACTCAGGACTAGATAGGATTGTGACATGATACAAAAAGTGGATTAAATATAGGATAGCTTGGGATAAAAAAAACTCAGTGTTGATGAAGAAACTATAAAGCACTTCCCAAAAGTCTACCTCTAGTCTGTAAAACAAAACGAAGCAGAAACCACGACCACATCGTGGTCGCTGATTTGTGCAGTTCGCTACCTGTCTGATAGTAACAGCCTTTTGTATCCCGCTGAGACCACAATACACCTGAGAAGAGTGCTCAGCAATTCAAAGACTGCAAAGCCTGCTTCGAGGATTGGTCAACACAAAGAGCCGGTTTCTCCAGAACTCCAGACTGCCTGACACACCAGCAGCCCTTCAAAAGTTGAATGAATTGAGCTATGAAGTTTTGCCTCACCTACCGTATTTATCTTTACTTCCTCAAGCATCTCAACAACTTTATGCAGGGAAAACATTTCCACAACCAACAGGATGAATCCAAAACATAGATGTTTGTGTCAGAGACATAAATATTTTTCATTGGCAAAAATTCAACAATTGTAATGGTTCCTGTTTTAATTAGTAAAGATGTTTGAGCCAAGTTATGATGGTTTAAAATTAACACTCCCAAATCAGTCTCTTTTGCACCAACCTAATATAAATGTACATATTTTTACCTCATGGCAGTTGCGGCCATAACTTTCTGTACTTTGTTGCTTCACTTACCTAAATCTCTCAGAACATATACTAAGAGCATAAAGAATTCCTGTCAAAGCAATTCTGCTGTATATTACATTGTACATGTACAATTAGATATATGTTCTTTGTATGTATGCTGTTACTGTGTCTGGAAATAAGTTTACTGCTTAGTAATTAGAAAGTTAGGCATTGCTTTTGAGTTGTTTAGTGGAAATGAGTTCATTGAAAATAATTTCACTGAACTTTGACTGGATATCAGGAACCATTTAAAAAACAACCCCGGTGATTTTGTTTCCTCTGTTGTCACTCATACAGGAGATGTTAGAAGCTCTCAAGGCACTTTCAACCTTTTTTGTTGAGAATAGTTTGCGGACTCGAAGAAACTTACGTGGTGATATTGAACGTAGAAGCTTGGCCATCAATGAGGAATTTGTGAACATTTTCAAGGATGTGAAGGAGGTATGTAACTCATTTAGTGTTTATAGGGAACGATGTGTTTAGTGTCTTGATCAGTTTTTTAAATTAAATTGTACTGTTAGCTCATAATGTACCATAGCCAAATAGAAACCAACTTAACTCTGTTTTTGTTTGAATTATTGTAATTTCTGAATTCTTTACCGCTATTAAAACGTTGTAATGTGGGCTGGAGAGATGTCTCAGAGGTTAAAAGCACTGGCTCCTCTTCCAGAGGTCCTGAGTTCAATTCCCAGCACCAGAACACGGCACAAATAAATAAATAAATAAATAAATAAATGAACAAACAAACAGAAGCATATACAAATAAACAAGCCAAAAAAGTTATATGTTTATTTAGAGAAATTATCTTAGGGGTTGTAATTGTAACTTTTTTTTGAGACAGGGTTTCTCTGTATAGCACTGGCAGTCCTGGTACTCACTCTGTAGATCAGGCTGGCCTTGAACTCACAGAGATCCACCTGCTTCTGCCTCCCAGTTCTGGGATTAAAAAAGGTGTATGCCACCACTGCCCAGCTAGGAATTGTAACTTCTTAATAAGAAATACCATTTCTCTGAATGGTTTTCCAGAGGAAATATTTCCCCATTTAATGCACTGCTTTAGATGACCACTTCTTCATTGGAGATTGATTAGTAGTGATTTATTTTGTTAACTCTTAAAGTACATAATTTCCAGATCATGGTAATTATTTCAACATGAATAACAATTCAATATGCTTGATTATGGTTTATTTAAACACGGTATGAAGGTAAATATTTTTTATTATGATGTAATTTGTTTATTGCGTAATATTTGATAATTATTAATACTACATTGTTTATATTACTGTATAGTGACAATATGCAAATCAGAAAGAAGTCACCAGTTTTAAAGCTTTTACTAGGATTTCATTGATTGAAGGCTAATAATTTCAGAGGTGAAAAGGAAAGCTTGTTAGAATTCTTTTTTTTTTTAAGATAATTTAGAGTTTGCTGAGAACCGGGCTTCATATCCTAGCATATCAAGTTGCTCACAGCTTAAATCCCACTCCAGGGGATCTGACACTCTCTTCTGATCTCCTGAGGGCATCTTATGCACATGTGCAATCAGCATGTAGACATACATACATACATACATACATTTAAGAAAAAAAAAAGACAGTAGTGATGGACATGTTCAGATTATAGTCTTTTAAGCATCTTTGACTACTGAAAGTAATGATCTTATCATGACCAGAAGCAGACATTGTCCTGGAAGGAATTTGGGTAAAGAGGCTTCCACTCATCAAGCTAGGATGATGTGATCTAGAATAATAAGCTGGAATAACTATGTACTGACCACATCACACATGAAATCTGTGAGTTATAGAGACACTAAAAGTAAACAAGAGCTGGTGTGATGACTCAGTCAAGTAGAGGTTCTTATGAACAGGACTGACCATCTGAGTTTGGTCATTAGATCCCACAAGGTGGCAGGAGAAAACCAACTGCCTAGAGTTGTCCTTTGCCCTCTATACCTCGTGTGTACAGGTGTACACACCAAATCAAACAGAACCCGCATTATTTTTGGTGGTTATAAGTATGGCAGCTGAATGAAAGTTTGCTGAATGGAAGTGAAACGTCAGCACTTTTCTTCTCTGCCAGTGTGTCCAGTTTCTGAGGCGAAGCTTCTCCCACAGTAGTCCAGCCAGTGAATGAAACAGAGTATAAGAAGATTTTGCAACTGCAGTTGCATTCCTGGATCTGGCTCAGACTTTCTCATCCTGGAGATTGTTAACATTGGGCTAAATATGTGTGAGGGAATTTTGTCTGAACTGTAGGATTTTTCTCAGCATCCCTAGTCTGTACCCAGTTGTTGCTGGTAGAGCCATCTTGTCTCCAGTTGTTCCAACCAAGAGTGCCTACTAACATTGCCCAAAGTCCCAGAGGTGAGGAATCACTGAGGTTAAGAGTCACTGATCTGGACACCGATACATGACTCCTGTCAAAGGTGTGCAGCATCAGTGCTAAAGAGTTCAAGCCTCAAGTTTATCTGGGTGTAGTCCTGCTTCTGGTTCTGACTGACAGTATGAAGGACTGGGGGCAGGACTACTGATATGGGGAAGTGCAGTCGGAGAAGTCTGGAATCTTTCCCCTGTGAAAACAGCTGAGCTGGCTCCAACACATAAGTAGGAGTAGTAATCTATACACTAAACAAGAAATAAACATCATTCTGTTAAGTATTTGCAAATCTTTTTTGATTTGCACACTGTTGTTTTTTTGGTTTTGTTCTAGAAAATTGAAGATGTTGGAGAAGTTTCAGTTGGGCACTTGACATTAAAAGGTTATTGTTGATGAGCTTGATGAATTTTTTGTGATGTCAGTACTCTGGAGGCGGAAGCAGGATTTTGAATTCAAGGCTAGGTTGAGTACATAGTGAGACCTTGTCTCAAAAATGAGAGAGAGAGAGGAAGGGAGGGAAGAAAAAGGTAGTTGTTAAACCTGAATGCTAGTCTACTTTTTAATCTCAGAATGATGTAAAGATAAAATTGCATTTGGAAGTGCCTGAGAATAGTTCAGTTTATAGGGAGAGAGGAAGTATGGGTGGGAAGGTGAGTAGACAGAAGAAGTGAGAATGGCCGTGAGCTGCTAGTTGTTGAAGCTGGGCGGTAAGTACATGAGGGTTCATAGTATCTCAACTTCAGGTGTTTTTGAAAGTCTGAATTGAATAGCTTATCATATACCTGATATACTTTATGGTTGCTAAGTTTGTTCAGTGAGTAGAATTAGGTAATTCAGTAAAGATTAAAATGGAAATATAAATAGGGCTGTGTATATAGCTCAGTTGGTTGACTGCCTGCCTAGCATCACTCAGAAGTAACTGTCATTATGTTGTAATGAATTGCCTCCCCATGTTTTGAAAATAAAAGGTTTTTTTTTTTTAGAAATGATGATGAGGCATTGTATATTTTAATTTATGACTTTTAACTTTGTGTAGACATCTTTAGAAAGCACAAGCAGTTTCATCACAGTTGTTACCCTGTACATCCTTTCCATTGTTGGCTAAAGTGTTTCAGTTTCCATTTGTTTAGAGAATTCTTGACTGTCCTGGGTATATTGTTGCACATTTACTACTTTGTGCTATGATTTTTTTTTCTTCTTTAGAAATTGACAGCTAAAACTATACATACAATTCTACGTATTAATATAAATTTGGAGTACATATACATTTGGAGTGATTAGGTCTAGCTAATATTATATTTATTATCTATAAATAAGTTATTCTATAAGTTATCCTTATGTTAAGGTAT